AAACAAAATTTAAAAATACCTAAAACCTGGTAAAAATAATATACTTTCAGGACATATCTATAAAGCTGCCCAAGAACGTTCCAGGGGAGAGATAACTGAAGTAAGTGAAATGTGAGCTTCCTATGACCCTGAAGGTGCATCCTGATACACACACACACACACACACACACACACACACACACACACACACACTACAATTAGCCCAAGAAGACACAGCTTCAATATGAAATTGGCTTTAACTCCAACAATTCAATGATTACATTTAATTGAAGAAAACATAAATCGATTTTAGTAATATTTTACTATGACATTATGGTATTTCATAAAATACTTAGAAAGATTTATAAACTTTGCCAAGACAAAATAAAAGAGATACTAGGCCAAATCCTTTATGGATATGTTATTTCTCCAGGAAAATGGCGAAAATTTAGAACACGGAGGCATAGTTGTGAAATATTTGTAATTAAGTAAATATTTTTATCTGTGGTTGTTACATGTGGTCACATAACTTAAAAAAGCAAATATACACAAACTGAATTTTAAATGTTTCTACTATAAGAAAGTTTAAATTTTTTCCCCTGAATGTTCAATAATTTGAATCTATGAAGCAAACTGATAATAGATTAATAGGAATAAAAGGCATACAAATTTTATTACATGCACATGTATGCATGGGAGTCACTTGAAATACAAAAATTCAAAAAAAATGGCCAATGGTTGAAGCTTTTATACCATCTTGAGGTTATAAAAAGAATGTAGGCTTGGAGCATGGCCAAAAACAAGTTATGGTGGTAAATGAGGTTATGAAGGCAAGGCAGGGAGAGAGAAGAGGATGCTTGGCTAGCAAAGGTGGTCTTATTATGTACATGAAACATCACAGGTAGCAGCCCTTAAAGAAAATAGATGGTAAAGGGTTCTTTCAGACTGTTAAAGGTACCACACTCTCAGTTTATCTTTCCTCTATCCAGACAAGGCAGGGCCTCACAGAAAGCTTGGCAGCATCTATACAGATTTTCTCCACAGATGCAAATCTCCCCCACAAAAGACAACTTTGTAAGACTACTTCTGTTGGCAGGGCCTCTGAAAAGTCATCTCAAAATATATTAAAGAAGTATATTTTGCAGTGAAGTGTTTTGGCTTCCTTCATTATATTCTAACATATACATTTCAGGCCTATCAATATGAGTTATCATTTATTTTAAAATATTGGTAAAAATCATGGGGAAATCTGAAGGTCCAAGCCAGATGCTTGGGTATAATATGTATGTGTGACTATATGTTAAAAAATATGTAGGAAAAATTTTTCTAGACATTGGCCTAGGCAAAGAATGTATGACTAAGACCCCAAAGGCAAATACAACACAACAAAAATAAATGGGACTTGATTAAATTAAAAGGCTTCTGCCCAGCTAACGAAATAATCAACAGAATAAACAGACGACCTACAGAATGGGAGAAAAATATTCACAAACTGCACATCTGACAAAGGACTAATATCCAGAATCTATAAAGAACTCAAACAAATCAGCAAGAAAAGAACAAATCACCCCATAAAAACGTGAGTAAAGACATGGATAAAAGTTTTTCAAAGGAAGATAGACAAATGGCCAACAAACATATGATGAAAGGCTTAACATCACTAATCAGGGAAATGCAAATTAAAACCACAATAAACCATCACCTTACCCCTGTCAGAAAGACCATTATTAAAAAGTCAAAAAACAATAGATACTGGCATGGATGCAGACAGAAAGGAATGCTTATACAGTGTTGACGATGGGACTGCAAATTAGCACAACTTCTATGGAAAACAGTATGGAGATTCCTCAAAGAAATAAATAAAGACTTATCATTCTGCCCAGCAATCCCACTACTGGGTATCTACTCAACGGAAAAGAAGTCATTTTATCAAAAAGACACCTGCACTTGAATATTTATTGCAGCATAATTCATAGTTGCAAAGAAGTGGAATCAACCTAAGTGCCCATCAATTCATAAGTGAATTAAGAAAATGTGGTATGTATATACCATGGAGTACTACTCAGGCATAAAATGGAATCAAATATTGTCTTTTGCAGCAACTTGGATGGAATTGGAGATTATCCTAAATGAAAAATCTCAGGAATGGAAAAACAAACACCACATATACTCTCTAATAACTGGGAGCTAACTGATGGACACACATGGGCACAAAGATTTGTAAAAGTCATAGGAAATCAAGAAGAGAGGAGGGTGGAAGGGAAGATGTACCTTACCGATAGGGTACAATGAACACTATTTTGGTGACAGACACACCAAAAGCCCAGACTTAACATTATAATACAAGGTATCCATGTAACAAAAACATTTATACCCCCTTAATATTTCAATATCAAAATAAATTAACATTTGATGCTTCATCATCTGCATCATCTCTTGCCATCCATTTAAAGAAAAGAAAAAAAGCCTTTAGAAGGTCAGGACTTATACATATCAAACTTACTAGGAAAAAGAAAAATAATTTTAAAGAGTATCACTTTTCAGCAATTTGCATCTAAGTTTTCATCTTTTTTTTTTTTTTTTAAATTCTATATAATGTTTTATTATTTATATATTTATAATGTATACCATAATATATTCCATAATATTATTATTAACATGAAATAATAATAACCAAGTCTGAGTCCTGCTTGATCAAACACCCATATATACTGTTGCTTGAAAAACTGTAGGGATGACCTTGGTCTTCTGCTTTCTGTCGTTCGAAATGGCATTTCATCTGTCCTTGATGTTAGTCTAAGTTTTCATCTTTAATAAAATTATTTAAGGAAATAATTTCAAATTGTTCTATTTTATTTTAGAATAATCTTTAGCTTTTTTGAGAAGCCATATAGAGGGTAAGAACACAGATTCTGGAGCCAGGTCTTCCAAACTCAAAATCCGGGTTCTTCCATGTATTTGCAGTATGACCTAGGCAAGTTACTTAACCTCTATTGCCTCATTTTCATCATTTATTACAGGATTCAGCAAACTTTTCATGTAAAAGGCCCAGACAGTAAAAATTTTAGGCTTTATGAGCCTAAAATCAGTCTCTATCGCTCCTATTCTTTTTTCCTTTTTTAACAATTCTTTAAAAATATACAATCTTTATTTGTTCAAGGACAGTACAAAAACAGGGTAGCAGTTTGCTAACCTCTGACCTCTATACTAAATATAATAACAACATTTATCTTGTTAACTGAAAAAAATAATGAGGTTTATATTTTGGAAAAAGAGCCTTATTTCTTATAAAGGGTTTACAGCCCACAGTGGCCCTTTGCTCAGGTTGGGAAACGGCTCCCTGCCACAAGCCAGATACAGGTCCTTCAAGGGAGGAACAAAGGGAACAGGATTTTATACTGAGTTGGGTGGCTAAATATACATATTTAACAAGCTATAGAAGGAGTCATGAATATTTATGCAAAGAGAACTATGTGACTGCGCAATGGAGTTTTTGTTCCTTTATTAAGTCCATGTTTAAAAATGGCTGCCCTCTATGTCAAAAAGGTGAAACAAGGACACAAAAACCTACTTTGCACATGTTCAGAAGACTGCTAAAAGCACTTTATGGTTGATGGCCTTTTATCAGGAAAGAATGTTGGTCTGCCCTTAGGAAATAAAATCTGATGGCCATTCCATCATGCCTGTGAACTCAGTTTAAGGTTTCACAGGGTCCTTTTGGCCAAGAGGGCTCCATTCAGTCAGTGGGAGCTTAGGATTTTATTTAGTTCACAATCTCATAGGTTTGCTATTACATTGAATGAATTAATATATGTAAAGTCTCTACAAAGTGTGGGCAGATAGTAAAAGCTATAAAATGTTCCTTATTACTACTATATTTTAAGCAAATTTTATTTTCAAAATACCCACTATTCCTGGATGACTTCTGGCATTCTCGTGATTTGAAACTTGGAGAAAGATTTACTTTGTCTTTCCTAGTTTATTCTAAATCACCCGGTAAGTGCAGCATGGTATGTTGATAAAGCTTCTAAATGTGGCACTAAAACTGAGTCATGGAAGGTCAGTAATGGTTCTGAGGCAGTACTTTACCTTGCAAACCCAAGCAAGAGCATCCACACTGAGAAAGATTCATCACTATGAAAATGTAGTAACTGAGTAACCTGAAACATTCAGTTAAAATCAATAATCATTTCTCAAACATTGTAGTATTTCTCTCTAGTCACTGAAGTATACAAACCCATTCATTTAGATAAACTTTTAGAATTAGTCATTTTCTAAACAAAGAAATAAAGTATAATCAGAAAGCAGAAAATATGCACAGTTAATATACAATAGTTATAAGCAAGAAGAACTTGCCTTATGTATTGCAATGGACTAAATGTTTGTGTTCTCCCAAAATTCATATGTTGAAATCTTAACCACTATGTGATATTAGGAGGTGAGGTCTTTGGGAGATAATTAGGTCACAAGGGCAGAGCCATGTGAAAATACAGTGTGACTAGGGCTCTTATATAATAAAAGGGACTCCAGAGAATTCCTTTGCCCTCCTTCTGTCATGAAATGATACAACTAGAAGATAGCAGTCTGCAATCCAGAAGAGGGCTCTTACCAGAACTCAACCATGCTGGCACTCTGATCTCAAACTTCCATCCTCCAGAACTGTGAGAAATAAACTTTTGTTGTTTATAAGCCACCCAGTCTATGGTCCTTTGTTATAGCAGCCTCAACTAAGACTAATATTCTCAAGTGTAACTGCACATATTTATGGAAATCACAACATGGTGTAAAAAAATTACAAATGAAAAAAAATCCTATGCAATCAGGAGAAAGTTCATAATTTTTAGCAGATGACCTAAAAATGAAAAACAAGTATATAAAACTCAGCCCTTTTGTGATTTATAAAGCACATGCTGAATAGAGCCACATACAAATAGTTAAATGCAAAACATATAATAGGATAGATAAGTTTTGAACATTTTATTCATGTTATACATGTTATATTCAAATGTAGAACTTAATGAACTAAACTTTATAACAGTGATTCTAAACATGAAAAAATACTTGCTTCAGCTTTAATAAAATGCATTTTAATTGTATAACATGCTAAAGACAAATAAAATGGATCCTGTGACTACATTGTTGCCCAACTTACATTTATATAATCTTTACATGGAAATGTAGAGTAGGAATAGATGTTTATAGACTATAAACTAGATCTTGGTGATCATGGAAACAAAGGGAAAAGACAGAACTTCTCTTTCTTCTAAATATTTGTATAGGTATGAGTTACTATACTTTGAGGAATACTATCTTAGTTATCAAAATAGTTTCAAGAATTATTTTTATCAAAGTCATTTATGTCCAGAGTTTAAAATTTGAATAGTGTTAATAGCCTTAAAATAAAAACAAAAACAAAGAAAAAAACCTCAGTTGTCCCTGTCTCTGATCTTCCCACTACCACACCTCTGGTTTCCTTCCCCATTAAGAGCCTTTGCAATCACTTTAGTTATTCTTCTGACAGATACATCTATATTTCTAACATACATCATACTCTTGTCCCTTGAATCATCCATATTAAACAGATTGCTTGGCTCTGAATCCCAGTACCACCATTTATTATTAATATTAATAGCTCTGTGACCTCTGGCAAATTACATAACCTAAAATTTTAAGGCCTCAGTTTCCTAATCTATAAAACAAAATAATAGAATCACCAGTGCCCAGGACTATGACTGACTAATAGACGTAGAGATGTTCAACATACATTGAATAAATAAATTCAATAATCCAAATAAATAAATAAGCCAAGTTAATGGCCTCAAATCATTTACAAATGTTTGACAGTAAAACACCAAATATCATATTAACACAGCATTATTCTTTTCAGCATAAAGAAAAGCACACTACTAGTTAGTACATTACATTTTATGTTTTATTGATGATGACACATAGTAAAAATTTACTATATATTAATTACCCACAGTCTCTTATAAATATTCAAAGTTCTTTTTCACAAGCACAATTCATACTGCAAAGTCATACCATAAACTAAATTTTTAAAAAGACAATTTAAAAAATAAAACACATTAAAGATATCATAAATCATGATGGGAGATTGAGATGGCGTATAACTCTGACTTTTAAACATTCTAATCAGATGCAGAGCTTTACTAAGAAGTTGATAATTCTAGGGAGCCCTTTTGTGGGAAGACTTAGTGTTCAAATAATTAACGGCCAGATTAGCATACCTGAAGTCCTACATTCTTAAAAAGCTCATTCAGAGTCCAAAAATACAAGCAGAAGATTATAAAGTATTCTTAGACATACAGATCTCTTTTAAAAAATTTAAAGTATTCAATTTGCCTTAGATATTATTCCTTAAACTGAAAATTGCTGGGGAGTCCAAATATTATCTTTTCATGTCTTCGCAGCCTGGATCTGATCTGATAACAAAAACAAACAAAAATTATCAGTCTGTATAGGGTGAAATCTATTTTTTAAAGTAATTTAAGACAAATCTGTACAACATGATAGAAGCTTATGTATATACCTGCTTTTTAAATTTTTTATTTTTTTAGAGATGGGGTCTCCCTATGTTGCCCAGGCTGGACTTTAACTCCCGGGCTCAAGTGATCCTTCCAGTTTAGCCTCCTGAGTAGCTGAGACTATAGGCATGCATTACCATGCCCAGTTACACCTACTTTTTAAAAAGCACAATTTGTATTATAGTTTTTATTTTACACATGCACTTAAAGAGTCAGTGAGTTCTACAAGGTTCCTATGAAAAACATAAATACCTTGTTTAATCTCTTCTTCTTCCCCTTTCAGAGGCAACTACTTTCAACTCTAGGTGAATACTTGCGTATCTCCAAATAATATACTTTTATTATTATTAATACTTCTTGAACTATCAGTTCCTTCAATGTAATATGAGGCTTCCACTCTCTCACACTCCCACACTGCTCCTAAGCAACCCTCACAATACTTTTAACACTCCTATTCTCCTAACACAGTAATTCAGTCATTATCAATATTGTAACTATGTAAATGCTATTCAGAGCTGAGACGGATGGTACACTCTGGTTATATTTCCTTTCCTGTACTACTTTTGTTCCCCCTGGAGTTAATAATTGTCTAGCCCATCCCATCCAACTCATCTGTTTAGTTTCTTTAAAAATATATTTAAACACTAATTCAATCATACTGCTCTCACAGTTTAAACTTTTATTATTATGAAGCACATAGAAAAAGTCCAGGCTGGGCGCAATGGCTCATGCCTATAATCCTAACACTCTGGGAGGATGAGGCAGGTGGATAGCTCAAGGTCAGGAGTTTGAAACCAGCCTAAGCAAGAGTGAGACCCTGTCTCAACTAAAAATAGAAAGAAATTAATTGGCCAACTAAAAATATATAGAAAAAATTAGCTGGGAATGGTGGTGCATGCCTATAGACCCAGCTACTTGGGAGGCTGTGGCAGGAGGATTGCTTGAGCCCAGGAGTTTGAGGTTGCTGTGAGCTAGGCTGATGCCATGGCACTCTAGCTAGGGCAACAGAGTGAGACTGTCTCAAAAAAAATCCATCAATTTCATCTTTTTAAAGAACTCTCCCCTAGACACTTACAAAACTCTCTCTTAGACCAGTTGTTTTTTTAGGACATCTCTTTTCATTATCATTCTAGGATCTCCATTTTAATATCCTGCGGATTCCTTCTCCCACTCTCTTATGTCAGTTTTCCTGTTTCATGATTTCTTATTTTTCTCTTATTTCCTTGTTTTTAAGGAGTACTTTTCTCAGTGGCTACCTTAGTAAAAGGCATAAAAAGTAATTTTTGAGACATTATAGAGTTGAAGGGGTCTGTATTCTATTGTCACAATTGCCTGTTTGATATTGCCTGAGAATATAATTCCACTATTTCCTTCTTGGGCTTTTTCAGGCATTGCTTAATTATCTTGCAGCTTCCAAATTATTGCTGTTGAGAAATCTGATGTTATTCTGTTTCCACATCCTTTACATAAAACCTATTATTTTTTTCTCTTTTTTATTGAGTTTTTCATTTCTCAGGAAGCTTGCAGAATGTCCTACTGTTTGTAGTGCTGAATTTTAATAATGATGCATGTTGGGGTGGGAGTATTTTTATCCACTTCATTGAACTCTTGAGAGGCTTGTTCTTCTCTGTTCTCTTTCTGAATTTCTTACTGTTTGGATATTTGGCCTCCTGAACATAACCTCTCACTTTCTTTTCTTTCCAATGTTTATTCTTTGTCTTTTTGCTCTACTTTCTGGAAGACTGCCTCTATTTTATCTTCTTTTTTATTGAATTTTCAATTCTATTATTCTATTCTATTCTTATTTTCTAAGAACTCACTTTTTTGTTTTTTTTGTTTAAAGTCATACTGTAGTCTTATTCAAGAAATATCTTCCTTATCTCTTGGAGGATACTTGCTAATAGTTTTATGAAATGTCCCTACATAAATTCTACTTCTTCTGAGTCACTTTTCTTGTTTGTTTACATTCCCATATTTTTCATAATGTTTTCATTCTCAAATGCCTGGTGATCCTTTGCCATCTGCTCATATGTATGAGTGAACACTAAAAACCTGACTGGAATTTGGAAATGTGTGTGAAGCTTATCAAATGTGGTCTGCATTCTCATGTGTCTGGCTAAGCCATTTCCTTGGGAATCTCTGAGATTAATACCTTTAGTATTTTTTTCTCTTAGCCTAATCTGATTCCTCAAAGATGACTTTTCCTATCTCTTGTCTACTGCCAGCATTTCTGGGAGAAGTAGGAGAAGCAAAAGACGGTTGTGTACCTAAGGGTTTCCAGTCCAGAGACACCCTCTTTGACTCTTTGCAAAGAACAAACCTTCAATCTTCTTTTGGGGGAAGGATGTTTAACTATGTTCTTCTCTTTTCAGCTACACCTTCATCCTTATTTTTAATGTCCACCAATTCTAAGTCTTTGCAAGGATCTGCAATGTAAATTAGGCTGCTTTCCAGCTTTCCCCTGCTTAGTGAGAACTCAGCTTTCTCAGGTCTGTTAAGTCATTCAATATTCACTAGATATCCAGCTTTCAAAATTTAGTTGCCATTTTTAGCATTTCCATTCTTTTTCCTCATGTAGGTTAATGTTTTTTTAAAAAGTCCCTTTATTGTTAGTGAGAGCTGTGGAGGGGATGAAATTAAGTGTACATGTTCAATCCTCTATCTTTCATTGGAATACTCCTGCACATAGTTTATAAAAGTCTAATAGCAACATCTGGAAGCATCACTAACCTTTTCCATGCAGATTAAAGTGATAAAGTGAATAAATTTCATTAGTTATTTGGGAATATTTCTTTTAAAAAATAACCTAATTTGAAAGTTTCAGAGCTAGAAAATTTGTAGTTCTGTAATAGTTTACATATATTATTTGGTGGCTTAAAAAATACTTAATAGTTTACTCAAGGATTCTTGTCTTTGAGTTGTAGTTATTGTATATATGTAATTATTGAGACTTTTTCCAAAAGAGAAAAGAATCATCCCTATTAAATATGTCATTTAATATTTCACCAAAAACTTTTCAACTTTAAACTTAAAATAATAAGATTAATTTGGCCCCAAATGAACCAAAGTCCTTCTTGTTTATCACGCTAGGAAATTTTAAAATTCTGGAAGTAAAATGAAGAGCTATAAGTTCAGAACCTCTTTCACAGATTTACATAAATGCCTTTGGCTAACACAAACTACTCTCCTATATTTAATGCTATTTATTTTGCAAAATAGGCTTTTATCTCTTTGCAAATTGAGAGACAGTTGGAAACATGAAAATGTAAATTATTCATTACATTGGAAATATGAACAAAGCAAAGATATTTGAAATCAAACTGATATGTTTTTTGATCTACATATTTAGATTCCTCTGTTAAACAGAGTTGTTAAGAGGGTAAATGTAACATTTATTGAGTACTTTCTTATGCTAGGTACTTTAACACATACACTATCTAATTTAATCTGTAAAACAATTTACGATATTTTGTCTTCTAATTTTATAGATAAGAAAATCGTCTTCACAAGATAATCAGATATATTAGCTAATAGGTAGAGAGATTAATTAGTAAGTAGTGAAATAAATGTGCTGGGCTTTTTACTACTAGTCTATGATTTCTATGTACAATAGGGGTACTACTACTTACCTTCCAGAGTACTGTTGTAAAGGGTACATAAAGCGATATAACAACCCAAAGACACAAAATTATATCCAACAATGTGCCTTCTTTACAAAGACTTGGGAGGTAAGATGGATAATGGATCAGAAAAGTAGAAGAAACAAAAAATTAGGTAGTAAGACCAGAGTTGGCAATTAGTACTCTGATGTTGGATCATTACTGACACCTAGTGGTCTGATTGCTACAGACAAAATAAAACTGGGGCACGGGGTCGGGGGAAGGGATATGAGAGCTACAATTTAAAACCCAGCAGTCTATCAATCTATTTTCAGTAAGTACTGTGTTTTGAATTACTTTATCATGAGTGATAGTGGGGTTTCCATCCATGCTACATCTTCACTGTGAGCAAGGGTAAGCACTTTTTAAAAGAATTCAGGGCTGAAAATATGTTTCTGGCATCTTCTCTCTAATCTGTTTCTGGTGGGAATCCATGCCATAACGTTTACCACTTCTCTACCAGTCCAAGAAACTTTGTCAGTGGATTCACAGAAAAATCCCACCAGTTTCTCTGAGAAGTACTAGAGCAGGCGTCGCGGGCCACATGCGGGTGTTTTTGCCCATTTGTTTTTTTACTTCAAAATAAGATATGTGCAGTGTGCATATGAATTTGTTCATAGTTTTTTTTTAAACTAGCCCTCCAACAGTCTGAGGGACAGTGAACTGGTCCCCTGTTTAAAAAGTTTGAGGACCCCTGTACTAGAGGTTCTCAGTTAAGTTTTACTTAATTGTAAAACATGACTAGAATGTTCTTTGCAGTTTGGTAGTAAATGTCATGACAACTACATAAATACAAAAAAAGAGTGAAATATAGTAGTCTCTGCAGTTAACTAAAACACAATATTTTACTAATAACACAACTATTTATGAAATGTATATTTCATACTTTGAAACAAAGAAATATTATGCCTTTTTATGCCGGGGCAAGCAGGCTTCTCTTAGATCCACCCTGACATGTGTTACATCCCTGCTGCTGTTTCCAATATTCAGAGGAGGAAAAAATTCACACATAACTGGCATCAAAAGGTTAGTGTAGAAGAATTTATAACCACAAGATTACAACTAGAATTTATATCTTATTATTCACCCTTGTTCAGGGCAGAGAGATTCCCAATAGGAATGATGTTCAGTTGTTATGCTCACAATTGGAAATTTTTGACCTAACCATCAGAATCCTGCAATTAGACCTACAGAACTTGGTTTCATTCACATCCATCTATCTATTACTCTGTGTGCTTTATCCCATTCCTATGGCTAGCAGACAATGTAACCATAGGGAAAATGATATATCTTAATTTATTCCCTGATATACTAAGCCTGTACCAACCTACGATAACTATTTTGATGAATAACACAAGAACTAAAAATATACAAAACATCAATAAAATAGTATTTATAATATTAACTGTAAGTGTTAAAAGTTGTGTATACATGCTATGTATAAATGGAACTACATATGAAGTATAGCATGATTCTTAAAAGATACATATAATTCAGACTTATTTTTAGCTATTGATAATAAGGTCTAACATTTGTCCCAAAATTTAAATGTGCTTCTATTACTAGAGCTGACAGAAATTTGTTGCCATAAATTAAATTTTTTTCTAGATTTGTCATATATATTGACTGTAAAGATACAAACACTTTACATAAGTAAATCCTTTAGAAAAATGTAATAGAAGTAAATGGAGCAAGATATTGAATACTTACTGTACTGTTTTTTCTGACAGCAGAAATAAATAGAAACAAAAGGAAAACAAAAGGAAAAAGGCAATGATATAATAAAAATAAAATTAAAAAAAGAAATAAAAATATGAATGGAAAGGAAACAAAGGCTGAAGTTACATAATATTTTGTGATGTACCTTGAAGCCAGTCTACACCTTCTTGCAATCCTTCTCCTTTTATGGCATCACTAGCACTGCAATAAAATCCATAAGAAATATATCTATTTCATTATAGCATAAAACTGCAAGAATAAAGGATTATAATTTTCCCATATGGCAAATTAATATATTAACACATATCTGAGCAAAACTGGGTAAGCCTTGATATTTAATATAAATAGAAAATAAAAGTCTGTGAGTGTTAAGGAGTAAGATATGAGGAAATTATTTATAATTTTTATAGAAAATTTTAAAAGTATATCACTAAAAAGTTATTATCCTAAAAAATAGTTATTAGATTGACATTAACAAAACACATACTTTGAGTTATTCTTCCAGTGGTGAAAAAGTTTTAGAGTCCACTGTTCTACTCTGCCCAGCCCCAATGATTCACTAGCATTTATTTATTAGAAATGCTTGACTTAAAAAAAAACAACAACAATACATTATTGTCTTAGGTTATGGTATATAGCCATAGGATAGAATCATTTTATTTAAAATGGAATTTGATATCTAAAGGGGATAAGCCCATAATGATAGCTTTGGTGAGCTGGGAAAAATAAGACAAAAACCTAGTAATTTCATCATTGTTTTCTATTCACTAGCTGCAGGAATCTTCTGTCTTAAGTTTAGAATGTGTGAAATGGGGAAATATTACCATTGACCTAATATAGTTATTATGAAAATTAAATATTTAAGGTCTGTATATAAAACACCTAAAATGGGATCCCTTCCATTGTCTTTACATTCTTAAGACAGTAAACTTAAAGCCTTATGGTGACATTTTATATATAATAATAAAGTATAAAATTAAAATAATAAAAGGCAGAGGATTTTAGAATACCAAATAATCTTTCAAAAATGCAGACTGAAAGTTTCTCATAACGTTATTGATCTAGTCATTTCTTTTCAAAATATATGATTGTATAATAGAGATATATATAAAAATTGTATTTTCTGAATAATTAGGGTTCCTTTAGTGTGGTAAAACATGACTTTAAAATCTGAAACTAGTCAAAAATGAAATCACTTCCAAAAAATTAATTAGACTAAGAATATACCATATCATGGAATTATTTTAAAATAAAGAGAAACGAACAGCATGAGATACGCAATTATTCAAAGCAAATTACTGATTATCCATAGTAATGGCAAAACACATCAGTAACTGAAATACTTAAATCAAGAAAGGTTAGGGTATTACACACACCTAAAGTTCCAAACAAGTAATATAATTAAGAAATCCTTCCCTTCTGGTGGAGGTATCACTACCCTACTAAAAACTCTGCATCTTCTCCTAATAAGTCTCAAATATTTGAATTTTACCTTTCTTCTCAAATAAATCATAAGAATAAAAGTCTAAGTCTTCACTTTGTTCTACAAGGTCTTATGTGATATAGTCCATGGTTATTTCTCAGTGGCATCATCTCCTACAATTTTCTCCTAGATGGCTCTGCTCCAGCCAGTTTTCTTGCTATTCCTGGAATATACCAGGTACATTCTCATCTAAGAAGAGTCTTTTTCTTGCTGGTTTTTCTATCTGGAAAACTATTCCTTCAAAGCTTTGCATGAATTGTTCCCTGATTTCAATTAGGTTTCAGAGATGGAACAACTCTTATTCTTTCTCTTATTATCACACTTTATTTTTCTTCATCCTCCTAACTGATATTTTATACACTTATTTACTCATTATCTATCTCCCCCCCGGAAGATGGAAAATAAGTAAATACATATATATCATGCCAGAGACTGAGTCAAAGAACACGCATGAAGAACAATCAGACACTGAAAATCAGAGTTGACTCTACCTTTGGTACAATAGTCAATAAACCATAAAGTTTTCCTTTACTTTACCAGACTATACTTTTCTATGATCTTTTTTTTTTATTGCCTAGTAAATTTACTTGTACTTAAGGCAAGAAACAGGCAATATTTTATCTCTATATCACTGACCTTTACATCTAAAACTAGAAAAGAAGGATATATATTTTTTTCAATTTTATACATGCTTTAAAAAATATTGCTCCAAATAAAATATCTAACAAATGAAACTCTAATTTGAATATGAGATGTCCAGTGTGAATTAAAGAGAAGTCAAAATTATAGACAAGGTAAAAAGAAATACTTAGCATTCTTCTACAGGTCATACAGAAAATACAGAAACTGGTAATACCAGTTACACATCCTTATAGTATCAGGACATTACTTTTTCTTTAACAGAGAACTACTGAGATATCACAATTGAATAAATAAATCTTTTAAAATTCAACTGCTAATTATTTCAAGTAGAAAGAGACTCTTTTAATAATTAGACCGTTTTTGAACATGCACTATCAAAGTAGTTATAATACTTAATACAATGCAAAAATGAAAAATTATTCTACTTTAGAGGTAATCAATTTAGGTGTGAGTTGGAGAAATACAAAGCTTCTATCTCAAGATGTTTCTCTATTCAAAATCCTACCTTTCTTTATCTACCAAATATCACAGGACCTCAAATTCCAACTCAAGAATCATTTCTTAAACACTTACTTTTCCTCTGATACCAAAGTAAGGAAGGTTTTACTTCTTGAGATATGCAGTGTTTTGTTCCTGGGGAGAGATGCTGGAAAAAACCTTGAAGCTTGGAGATTTTTCAAAAAGATGAAATAAAAAGTAAACATAAAACTTTACCAAATGTGCCATGGTTTATCTTTGATGTTCTCTAAACACAGCAATTGAGACACTTTTACAGATGTCACTGCATCTCTAAGATCCATTTTGTTTGCAAAGAATAAGATTGGAATTCGACGATGTTTAATATCTAAAAGAGAAAACAAGACTATCATCACACTTCTAGCTTTTTGAGTCACTTTGCCCCAAATCTTTAAAACTGAAATCCCTAAAATTGTTTTTCAATCACTTCTTTCTATATCACACATACATAAACATTTAAAAACACATACTGTCATGCATGTATTTGAGCAAAAACAAAAAAGAAAAGAGAAAATTTTGAAAATACTTCTTCCTAAGACCATCCATCTACCCTCTATTTAGGAACTTTAAACCAAAGACGGGTGGGGCATGGGAATGGGGGGCTCGATAAGCATTACAGAGAAGCACCTACACAAAAGGGTCAAATATTTCGTTTGTTTCTTTTTCAATGTGAACAGAAAGGAGGCAAACTTTAAGTAGAAGAGAAACCCATATCCTAATTTTAGCTTTTAGTCACAGTATTACAAGTAATATGCTAGATATTTTAACAAGATATTTTTACCATGTTACAATTTTGGAAACAATCTGCAATGTTTTGAATAGATAATACTTGAAATAGTTCAAAATTCAGAAGACATAAAATGGTATACACTACAAGAATCTCCCTCCTACTTTTGTCCCAGGCCATCCAATTTCCCTCTGTAGAAAAGGCAACCCATAATATCAATATCTTGGGATCTTTGTAGAAATATTTTTTATATTTATAAACATAATTATTATATATTATTTTCCTACAGATAGCAGCAGACCAATCTCATTATACGTTTATTTTTTCACTTAATTATGTATCATGGAGATGGTCCCATACTAGGACATATAGAGTAGCTGCTTCATTATTTTAAGTTATGAAATATTTCTTCTTTTACTATTATGTACCATAATTTAACCAGTATCCAACTGAGATATATTTGTTATCAATCGTTACAATTAAAAAACATACTGTAATAAATAAATGTGTACATAGGTAATTTTGTACATGGGCCAGTATATCTTTAGGATAAAATTGAGAGGTGGAATTGCTGGGTCCAAGGATATGTAAACTGTTGTTTTGATAGATAGTGATTACCAAACTGCTTTCCCTTAAAAACTGTATCAGTTTACATTTCAACAACAATGTATGAGTGTTTTCACTCCTCTAGCCAAGAGTGTGATCAAATATTTTGATATTTTCCATATGATGGGTAAAACGTGTGATCGTAACAGAATATTATTTTCATACATTCAAAACATGTTTAAATTTACTTTTTGTTGACCTATTTTGTCATATCCTTTCTCATTTTCTATTAAGCTTTTATTTTTGTGTGGGTTTGTAGGAATACAAGTAATATAGAAATAGTCCTGTAGCTATGTGTTGCAATTATTTTCATTTGCCTTTGACTACACATGGTACATTTTGCTATTCAAAGATTTTTTATCACCTTCCATTTTTAAAAAAAGTTCATACATATTTCAGCTTAGAAATACCTCCCTTGGGAATCTATCCCATAATATAAAAGAATTAATACATAAAGACACATGGACAAGGCTTCAATTGAGGAAGCCAATGTTCCCATTGTTTTTGAAACAGATTTTAGAGGAACTATTTCATTTTATTGCTCAACATTCCAATACTTTCTGGGGAAAAAGTGGAAAGATTAATACAAAGGGAATGCATCATCAAAAATGTATTATCAACTCAGATACAAAACTGATTAAGTTTTGAAGTGAAAAAGTCACATAAAAAGTAGAGGCTGGGTAAGTTTTTTTCCAAAAATTTGAATAGCTTGATGTTATCCAATAAAAATATGAAACATACTTTGGTTAAGCATAAGAACTGTTAGAATGCTACACACTATTTCCATTCCACTTCTAACAAACCCACAATCCTTTTAAACTACTATTCTTTTTAAAAAATCCTAGCACAAACAGTACTTAATCTTTTTGACTTGAGTAAGTCTAGAAATGCAGAGTTCCACAATACTTACTAGAGCATTGGCTGCAGTGGTGGGGAAGGGGCAGGGGAAGAATATCCATGAAAAGGTATATGACTGGATAAACTGTGGTATGCTCATAGTACACTACATTAGGTACCATTAAAAAGAACAATTATATAACTGTATGGAATTTGTCTTGGAAATATTTCCATCATGAAGTGCTAATTGAGAATAGGAAGATGCAAAAGAGTATAAAGAATATAATCTCATTTTGGTGAATAACAATGACAGTACCCAAAGCCCTCAGCCCTGTAGATATTTGGGGGGGCTGTGTTATGCGTGTGTGCACATGTGTAGGGTATAGTATATTAAAAAACTATGAAAGGAAAAATACCAAAATACCTTGTATCTTGGAAGATAGACACACACACACATACACACACAATGATACACACAGAAAAATACATGAAAATATGGAAACCAAAATAATTTTGATAGTTTTTGAAATACAGATTTTAATTCTTTATTCTTTTTCCATCTGATTTATATTTTTGCTATTGCCACATATTTCTGTAATCAGAAAAAAAGGGTCATATTTATTTTTGAGAAAATAAAGCTTAGAGACCTCAAAAACACTGCAAAAACTTTAAAACTTAAAAAATATGTTGTAGGTAAATATATTATAAATTCTATATAACTAATGGTTTGAAATTCAAAACTTTAAATAAAAGATGTTTATATAAGGAATACTTTTTGCTGATACCAAAAAAAAAATATCACACATAAAAGGTCCCAAAGCACAGATAACATAGATTGAAAGACACACACACATACCTGGATGATTCAGAAGAGTATCAAGTTCTTCTTTGGCCACAACCATTCTTAATCTATCACTACTATCAATGACAAAAATAATGGCTTGTCCTTCTCTGTATAATGTAAAGAAAGAGAAAAATTAAGGCTACACTTAGAAATTTTTCTCTGTTTATTATCATTTGCATTTCTTAATCTATGTGTTATTTCTTCATATCCTATGTTCATTTATCATAGAGGTTTTAAGTTTTTATTATTATAGTTTACATGACTGATTAATATATTAACCATTAGTTGTATTTCATGTATAACTAATTTATTTCATGTATAATATTTTTCATGCACATAATAAATTTAATGCTATTTCATATTTTTAAAATTATTGTTTGTTTAAAAATTAAAATATAAGAGAAAATGACTTTAAAAACCATAACCCTATTACACAGATATAATCATTGTTAATATTTTGGTATAAATCACTTGATACTTTTCTGTGTCTATTACATATGAATATCTATATCTGTATTTAAAATGGAATCCTGCTGTTTTATACCTTGCCTTTGCGATATATATGTAAATTTTCTTGATTTATTTTTACAGTATGGTTTGAACTACTTTTATATGAAACTCTAGAGGTCTACATCAGTGTTTCTCAAATATTTTTTACCATAAACCATAGTGAGAAAGACATTTTACATTTAGATGCACTAGACACAGCAGTATACATAAATATATGTGAAATAAAACTTTTTCTGAAACAATACTTAAAAATAGCTTTTATTCTATTTGTTTTTTTTAAGCTGATAGCCAGTGAACTGATTTAAGGATTCACTTAATGATTTAATAGATCACATTAGCACTTCAAAAATCACTGATTTCTCCGCACCTTTCTTTTTATGGTTATAAAGTATTCCATTGCATGAATGTGTCATCGAATCTTGTGTCAAACCTCTGTTGTTACACTATTACATTATTTCCAATTCTCATTATTGTAAAAAACTTTGGGATAAATATCTACCTATGTACATTTACTATAAAATTCCCTGATTCTTTAAGATATTTTTCTTTGGAGTAAAATTTCTACAACTACATACATAAAGTTTTAGAAAAACATCAACAAACGGTCCTCCAACAATGCTGTATGAATTTATGACTTATCAGTATTTTTCTCACTCCCTTGCCAGCAATGGCTATTATAATTCTTTTCAATCTTTGCTATTCTAAGAGCATATTATCTTGCTTTGTAGTTCATTAATTACTAGTGAAGTTTAATATCTTTTCATATATTAATTGGACATCTCTATATTTTTTGTGAATCTCTTATCCAGTTATAAATTAAAATTTTAAAGTTCAATGTCATTAGTAATCAAATAAATCAAATGAATATAAAAATAAAACTTTTTATATAGCACTTGCTATCATTTAAAAAATGACAATGCAGATAGATTACCATGGACATATGATTACTAGATTATTACTAGTGGATATAGAAACTAGTAAAATCAGAAATATCTAGCAAGAACTTTAAAAATGTTTAATCAGTTTGAGCCAGAGATTTTATTTCTGGAATTCATTGTGTGGAACTGTGAACTATGGCTAAGATTTATACAGCAAGATGTTAATTGAAGGATTGTTTATAGTCTTCCAAAACTGAGGAAAGCAAAAGTAGAGAAACAAACAAATTTTGGCACTGCTGTATAAAAAAATACTGGGCAGCTGTTAGAGTTATATTCATTGTATATTTTTCCTGATTCACCCATACCATAGAATGTTAACTGAAAAAACCAGGATACAAAATTACACATGGTACATAATTTAGATGATTGTTTTCTCTTTAATATATAATTATTTATTTCAAAAAAGAAACATATCAAAGACATTAATGATGAATTTACAAGTAATTTTATGTGAATTTTTAATATTCTTTTCTATGTTTTCTAAATTTTAAAAAATGTACACCCCTTATATTTTATACTTTATTATTTTTCTATATTGTAACAATAAAATGCAAAATGCATACAATATTTAACATGATAGAATCATAGAAATTAAAAAGTAAACTTCCCTTGTAATCTTGCTGTTCCAAAAACAAATGCTATTAATGGTTTGGTGGATATTCCACTAACACTACATACTAAGTACATATACATATTAAGAATAATATTTTTCTTTACATAATTGATATGAAAAAATATAATTATAAGCAATGCTAACACACATCCTTCTATGTATAGCTTTGCCCAGTAGGCCTAACTTTAGGATAGTTTTCTAAAAGTAAAAATGCTTGCTGGAGAGCATGAACACTTTTCATTTTAACATATATTTATAAATTACTTTGGACAATACATTACATTCTGACTCAGAGGAGTAGTTCATTTTGACAATAATAGACTTTCTTAATCTTTTTAACCTTTTTTCTGTTTAATAGATTAAAATGTATTTGTTTTTTCATAATTAGAAAAATATAGAGATAGAATAAATAAATTTAAATTATTGTAGACTTCTCAGTAGTAATCACATTCATCATCAATCTACATTTTTAAAAATTAATTTAATTTAATTTTATTTCAGAATATTATAGGGGTACAAATATTTTGTTTACATAAATTGCTTTTGTACTGTTTGAGTCAAAATTATAAGTGTCCCCATCCCCCACAGAGAGTGTGCATTGTACTCATTAGGTGTGAATTTACCCATCCCCACCTCCTCTTTCCCCCCTGCTTGATTTCTGATGAAAGTTGTTTTCATATGCGCATATAAATGTTGATTGATTAGTTCCAATTTAATAGTGAGTACATGTGGTGTTTGTTTTTCCATTCTTGTGATACTTCACTTAGAAGAATAGTTTCTACCTTCCATCCAGGTTAATACAAGAGGTATTAGTTCACCATTTTTTATGGCTGAATAGTACTCCATGTATACATATATCATATTTATTAATCCACTCATATATTGATAGGCACCTGGGTTGTTTCCACATCTTTGCAATTGTCAATTGTGCTACTACAAACATTTGACTCAATCTACAATTTAATCACAATATTTCAAAATTCATAAATTTCTTCCAAAAAGATTCTGAAGAAAAAGGAGTTAAAATCAGAGAAAAAGTTTCCTTTTTTGAAGTACTATTTTATAGTACTATTTTTATTCTTTGTAATTAAAATAAATGTATTTTAAAAATAGCTAAAGTAAATATATTTTTAAAAAAGAAATTATTTATCAATTAGAGGAAGAATTTAAAAATCCTACACTGAAAACTAAAAAAATCCTACTTTCTCCTAGACAATTTAACATACTACCACAAACTTGCCACTTTGCTTTTTCCAAGCATATCTGAAGTACTCTCCTTTCTCTCAACCTCAGAAGCACTATGGATCTATATGATTTACATAGGCCTTCAATTTATCAAATTATTCATTAAAAAGAGTATCTTGAATAAATCTCCATTGGTTCATATCTCATATTTGTTCTCACATTAGCAGGAAGAGTTAATCAACCAAAATCTAAAAAATTAGGCAGTCATCACATACCATTTCAAGGCAGGAAATTCATAATGACCAAGAGAGTTTAGTCAAGAGATACTGTTTTTAAGTTTTAGACTCTGAAGGTGAGTTACACTGCTTCTAAATGAAGGAGTCCTAGCAATACTGGATGTTAATGAATTCATTTTAATACTAATGCAAAGCTTGAGAAGGTATAATACATTTGGGTGCCAGTAACCTGATAGCTGTTAATCTATCTATTCTATTAATCTAATCTATTAAGTACAGTTGTCCCTTGGTATCTGTGACAGACTGATTCCAGGATGCCCCTAGAATATCAAAATCTGCAGATGCTCAAGTCCTTTATATAAAATGGTGTAGTATTTATATATAACCTATGTCTATCCTTCCATATACTTAAATCATCTCTAGGTTACTTATAATACCTAATAGAATGCCTATACTCATTTCAATCTCATGGATTCAACATAATGCTTGGTGCATAACAAATTCAAGTTTTGCTTTTTGAAATTTAGTGGAATTTTTTTTTTTTGCAAATATTTCTGATCTACAATTGGTTGAACCCAAGAATGTAGAACTCATAATGAGCATTTGCTGAAAAATATCTTGTTTAAAATTGCTCATAGAACAAAAGGATCAATTGTTAGATAATACTGTTATTTTTAACTCAATTTAGTCAATAATATTTACTGAACTATATGCTAAGCATCATATTATTTCTGAATAAGAAATAATCCCTTCCCTTGAGGAATTTACATTCTCATTAAAGAGGAAAGAGTTATATATAGTACATGATTTCAAGACATAAATATGATTACAGAGATGTAAATGGACAAAGTACTATGTGAACACTGGGGACAGAATAACTTGGCAAAAGAGTAAAACTTCAGAGGAAGTAACTTTTGAGTTGTTTGTTAAAGCATGAATATGTTAAGCTCAAACTGAAGAGAAGTAGGATAAAACAGGGCATTAAAAACAGAGAGAACACTACATACAAAAGCCTAAGGTCATGAAGCACCTGAAGCATTTGAGAAACATGTGGAGTATAATTATGTATTTTTTTACTTAAAAAATGTGCATAAATTATATGAACAATAAACATATACAACTCAGCTATATCATTTGAATTTCTAATCATTATTGTTATTAAAATATAACCATCTAGTTAAGCAATATTCACAAACACACTTACTTATAGTAGTGTTCCCAGAGATTTCTGTATCTTCCTTGACCTGACATGTCAAACACTGTAAAAGATAAACTACAAAAAAAAAAAAAAAAGTGCAAAGCATGACTACATTATAAGCTACAAAACTTAAAGTACAACTTTTACTTAAAATTTTAAATTGTTTTCCATCGAGGAAATCACCCTTGATATACAATATTCAATGTGGGTCAATTCTTAAGTAAAAGGCAGGTCCATAAAAAGAATTTATTAATATAAATATGATTTTAAATAAATAACATAAAAGATGGTTTCTTGCTAGTGAGGTTATCAGAGTTTGTCTAAAATCTAATTCTGAAAAATAAACCAGAGGTAGTAGTACAAATCGTAATACCTAAAGGCTTCTGAAACAATTTATTTTTTCTAAAAGTAGGAAGAATGACCAAGTAGATCTAATATTATTATTTTTCACCCACAACTTCTTAGTTACAGGGATAAAGTAAATTACCTGGATGATTTGAATTTCTCTATGCTGAATCCTATGGTTGGAACTATATCTTGAGATTGAGCCTTTAAGAGAAAAGACAAAGTTTAGAAATTTGCAATTGTCAGAGTTTAATTTTTCTTCAAGTTAAATAAAAAGTGTTTGGATTTTCCATTTCTCAAATCTGCCACTAAGGACATGACAAGATTAAACAAAATAATCATTTTTTTTCAATAGGATCACTGTGTATAAATTCCTTATAGAGGTTTAAGGTTTACTAATTATGAATCTGCATAATGTGGATGTCTTAGTTAACATGTGTGGCTTGCTGCAAATTACTCAGGACTTAACACGTTTTAAGTGGTTTAATAAGTCACCTTTTAGTTTGCATGCAGGCCTTTCTAATCTTTCAACACATACTTATTGAGTTTATATATGTTCAAGATTACCCTTGTCTAGATGGTCCCTGCTCTTGTGGAGTTTATAATATAGAGGAAACAAAGAACAATAAAAAACTAAGTAAAAAATGAATGCAATTTTGGACAATGATAAATGCAAATAAAGGTAATTAGGGGTGGGAGGCAGTAGGGCAGGAAGCGGTGGGAATGGTAGCATGGAAGAGAGTGCTCAGGAAAGGCTTTTGTGAAAAGGTGACATCTGACCCAGGAGTGAATGACAGGAAGGGGAAAAGCTATAACAAGTTTTTGGCAAAGAATCTTCCCAGTCAGAGGAATCAGTTAGTGCAATGATCCTAAGGCAGAAAGGAACTTGTCACTCAGGAAAAGTAGAAAGCCTGAATGTCTATGGTGTATTGAGTAAGTGAAAGAATGGTATGTTGAGGTAAGAGAGGTAGGGGCTTGAAGGCTGGGGTAGGGAATTCTTTGTAGGGAAGAGATTGAAAGGGGGGATTGGAGTACAGCTGATGACCTTTTGAAAAGTCCCATAGGCAATGAAATGCATTACACTGACAACTAAACTCATCAAATGCCTTCTAGCATTTCCACCATCAAACATGTTCCTCTGTTTAAATAAAAATCCATTCCACAGATGTAGCCAATCGAAAAAAAAAAAATAAATAAATAAAAATCCATTCACTTTCTGATACAGATGCTTCGAACGTACTCTTGACTCCTCCCTTTTTTTACATTCCATATAAAATAATTCTCTAAGCTTTATTGTCTTATCTCACTAACTTAGGTGAGGCCCTTATCATTTCTTGTTTTGAATAACCACAACAGCCTCTTAATTACTCCTAATTGGCTATGATACCAGGGCTAGGTTACTTAACTTCTCTAAGCCTGACTTTCTCAAATGTGAAATATATTATTATTATCCTTAACTCATAAAGTTACTATGAGAATTAAATGAGTTAATGGATGCAAAATACTCAACACAGTAAATACTCCACAAATGTCTGGCATTGTAACAATTATAATCACTGATTATAATCTCACCCCCAATTTTTTCCACACTGCCACAAATACAACTTTAAAAAAAAAAAGACTTCCCATGTTAAAACAGGAGTAGCAGAGGAGAAATTTTTGCCTCACATAATTATGTTCACTCTGATAGTCTACTTCTGGAAAATTTAAATTCAAATGGGAAGACAGAAGCTGAAGAGTCATTGAGGCTTAGTCACTTTAGTAGTAATGTGCTAGTGAAAAGCAACTGTCCCCTCTGAACTGCCCTGGTTTTGCCTTTCTAAAGTTTGTTTATTCAGCTTTTCCTTCCATCCATCCTATGAGCTGCCCTTGTATTTTTCCAAAAATATCTTTCCTTTTGTTTATGTTAGGAAAAATTTATTTACTGCTACTAAGATTCCTGCCTCGTACCTTGAGGTTCCTTCTTTACACAACCTTTGGAATAGAGTTTCTTAAGTTTTGTTATTCTCCCAAAGTCCACCATTTTGATTTTAAGGATTTTTTAATGTAACAATCATGCTAAAATCATTAGCTATTATTATGAGAAAAAACATACTGATAACAAAACAATGAAGAAGTTAAAACTTTAGAAAATCTCAAATGTCTTCACTGAACTGTAATTAGAACATTTGCCTAGACTTCCCACAATCACCTAGCTTCTTCACAGACTGTTTTTATTTCTAGAGAAGCTCCTCTTTAATTGATATTTTATTTGCAGGGATAAAATTCATAAACCTTTTCTTCATATTTTTTCTTTTCCTCCTCTGACTGTAGGTTGAAAAACGAAGGGATAAAAAAATTCCATACAATAGAAGAACACAAAAGAACACTAAAGAACAGGAGTAGCCACAGTTATATCAGAAAAAACAAATACAAGTCAAAGATTGTAAAAAGAGACAAAAAAGGTCACTATATAATGATAAAGGAGTCAATTCATAATAAGGACATACTAATTGTAAATACATATTCACCTGACACTATAACACACAAATATACAAAGCAAACATTAACAGATCAAAAGGGAGAGACAGACCATAATAAAATAATTGTAGGGACTTCAACACCCCACTCTCAGTAATGGACAGATCATCTAGATAGAAAAATCAACAACAACAAAAATTGTAGTTAAACTGTACTTTAAACCAAATGAACCTAATAGACATTTACAGAACATATCATCCAACAACTGTAAAATACACATTCTTCTCCTTGGCCTATGGAACATTTTGCATAATAGACCATTATGTTAGGCCACAAAAAATGTTGCAACAAATTCAAAACACTCAAAATCGTATCAAGTGCCTTTTCTGACAACAATGAAATAAAATCAGAAATCAATAACAAGAGGGACTTTGGGAACTATACAAATAACTAATTGATTAAAATGCATATGCACATATGGAAGTCACATTCATCTGGTGTCAGGCAGGTGGAGAGGGAAGGTGGGGACAGGTAAATTTACACCTAACAGGTGCAGTGAGCACTGTCTGGGGGATGGGCACCCTTGTAGCTCTGACTTGGATGGTGAAAAGGCAATTTATGTAATCGAAGTGTTTGTAGCACCATAATATTGACACATCTCAAGGAATGAGCAAAGAAAGAATAAACCCAGCCCAAAATTTGAAGGGGAAAAAGAGGACATAAAGGTCAAAACAGAAATAAATGAAATTGAGACTAAAAAATAAATATAAAAGATCAATGAATTGAAAAGAAGCTTGTTTGAAAAGATAAACAAAATTGACAAACTGTTAGCTAAACTAACCAGGAAAAAAAGAAAGAAGACCCAAATAAATAAAAGCAGAAACAAAAAAGGAGACTGGTATTACATAAATACAAAAGATTATTAGAAACTATTATGAACTACATACCAATAAATTGAAAAACATAGAAGAAATGGATACATTCCTGGACATATGCAGCCTACCAAGATTGAACCATGATAAAATAAAACACCTCGACAGAACAGATAAATTATGAATAATAAGATCAAAAGAGTAATAAAAAGTCTTCCATCAAAGATAATCCCAGGCTATCTGATGGCTTCACTTCTGAATTATAGTAAACATTTAAAGAACTAATATCAATTCTACTCAAAATATTCCAAAAATCTGAAGAGGAGGGAATACTTCCAAACTCATTCTACAAGGCTAGATTTACCCTGATACCAAAACCGGACAAGTACACAATAAAAAAAAAAAACAACTATAGGCCAATATCCTGATGAACATAGATGTAAAAATGCTGAAGGAAATACTAAGAAACTGGATACAACAACACATGAAAAAGATCATTCACCATGCTCACGTGAGATTTATCCCATGGAGACAAGGATGATTCAACATATGCAAATAAATAAATGTGATACATCACACTAACAGAATGGAAGAGAAAAACCACATAATCATTATAATAGATGCTGGAAAAGCATTCAAAACATTCAACATCATTTTATGATAAAAATTCTTAATAAACTGGGTTGGAAGGAACATACCTCAAAACAATAAAGGCCATTTATGACAAACCCACAAATAATACCATACTGAAAGAAAAAAACTGAAAGTCTTTCCTCTAAGATCTGGAACAAGACAAGGATGCCCACTTTCACTACTTTTGTTCAACATAATACTTGAAGTAATAGCCTGAGCAATTAGGCAAAAGAAATAAAAGGCATCAAAATTGGAAAGGAAGAAGTCAAATTAGCCTTGTTTGCAGATGACATGGTCTTATATTTAGAAAAACCTAAAGACTTCATCAAAAAACTGTTAGAACTGATAAATGAGTTCAGTGAGATTATAGGATATAAAATTAACATACTATTAATAAAATCAATAGTATTTATATATAACAGCAAAAATAATGACTCTGAAAAATAAATCAAGAAAGCAGTCCCATTTACAATAGCTAAAATATTTTAAAATACCTAGAAATAAATTTAACCAAAATGAAAGGTATCTAAAACAAAAAACTATAAAACATTGATGAAAGAAATTGAAGACGACACACGCAAAAAAATGGATAACCATTCCACACTCAAAGATCAAAAGAATATTGTTAAAATGTCTATACTATTCAAAGTGATTTACAGATTCAATGCAATCCCTACCAAAATACCAATGACATTCTTCACAGAAGTAGAAAATTTGTCCTAAAATTTGTCCTAAATTTGTTTTGGAACCACAAAAGACTCCAAATAGCCAAAGCTATCCCAAGCAAATGGAACATAGCTAGAGGTATCACACTATCTGACTTCAAACTATATTATACTACAAAGCTGTATTAACCAAAACAGCATTGTTCTGGCATAAAAACAGATACATAGACCAATACAGAGAATGCAGATATAAATCCATATCCTTGCAGCCAACTCATTTTCAACAAAGGTGTCAAGAACATACATTGGGAAAAGGATAGTCTCTTGAATAAATGGTGCTGGGAAAACTGGATAACCATATGCAGAAGAATGAAACTAGATTCCTATCTCTTACCATATACAAAAATCAAATCAAAATAGATTATAGACTTAAATATGTAGCCCAAATCTATGAAACTTCTAGAAGAAAACATATGAGAAATGATTCAGGACACTGGTCTGGGGACTCTGGGCAAAGATTTTTTGGGTAAGACCATAAATACACAAGCAGTAAACCCTCAAATAGACAAATGAGACTACATCAAGCTAAAATGCTTCTATGCAGCAAAAGAAGCAATCAAATAAGTGAAGACACAACCTAAACAACGGGAGAAAATATTTACAAACTATCCACCCAACAAGGGATTCATAACCAGAATATATAACAGAACTCAATAGCAAAAAACCAAATAATCCAAATTAAAAATGGGAAAAAGATCTGAACAGACATTTCTCAAAAGAAGACATACAAACAGCCAACACATGTGAAAAAAATGCTGAACATCACTAATAATCAGGGAAACGAAAATCAAGATGATAATGAGATTATCACCTCACTTTAGTTAGAATGGCTTTTATCAAAAAGACAAAAAATAACAAATGCTGTGAGGATATGGAGAAAGAGAAACCTTCATACACTTGCTGGTGAGAATGTAAATTAGTATAGCCACTATGGAAAAGAGTATGGAGGTTCCTCAAACATCTAAAAATAGAAATACCATGTGATCTAACAATCCCATTGCTGGGTATAAATCCAAAAAAAAAGGAAATCAATATATTGAAGAGATTTGTATATCTCATGTTTAGTGTAGTACCATTTGCAATAGCTAAGATACGGAATGAACCTAAATGACCATCAGTGAATAAATGAAGAAAAAATATATATATACATACAACTGAGTATTATTCAGCTATAAGACACCATGAAATCCTGTCATTTGCAGCAACTGGAGGTCATTATGTCAAGTGAAATAAGCCAGGTAAAGACAAATATCACATGTTCTCATTCATATGTAAGATCTAAAAATGTGGATCTCATGGAGACAGTGGGTAGATTAGTGCTTACTAGAGGCTGGGAAATGAAGAAGGGTGGGGTAGATGAAGAGAGGTTCATTAATGGGTATAAATAAATAGTCTGATCGAAGAAATAAGACCTAGAATTTAACAGATCAGTAGGGTAGCTATAATTAACAATAATCTATTGTATATTTCAAAATAGCTGGAAGAGAATAATTCAAATATTTCCAGCATAAACAAGAGATAACTGTTTGAAGTGTTGAATAACCAAATTACCCTGATTTGATTATTATACAGTGCATGCATGCATAAAAACATCACATGTACCCCATATATATGTACAACTATTATGTATCAATAAAAAAGAATATAAAACTGGATGATGTGACAATGAGCATGAGTGCTCAGAAATGGGGGAAAGATTGAAATTTTAAAAGAAAGGTATACAGAGTATATCTTTAAGAAAATGACAGCGAAGACTAGATTCTTGACAAGAGTGATCAGGTTATAAAATATCCTCCCTCTCTCCCTATTCAGTTCAGAAAATACCAGCAACCTCAGTACCTTAACAATAAATAAACATTAGGACAGCTTAATAGTAAAAACTAGTTTGGGCCTAGGAAATAGCTACTTACCTAAAAATTGATTTTATTCACCCCCCCAAAATGTGAAAACTTTACAATGAGTTGTGTACTTTATATGAAATAGGCATTTCCTATCAGAGCATTATAGATATCTATAATTAATTCATTTAATTCACTAAAAATAATGTTCCAGTAGTGGATACAAGCTCACAAGAGATTCTTCTTGGGGTCAGAGTAGGAAAGAAGCAAACGTAATATTACGTTTGCTTATATCTGAGTAACAGAGATTTGGGAGCCTTTAAGAAGGCCCACTGCAAGTGGTCCCTTGGCTATTATCACCAAAAGCAAAAAAAAAGCGAAGCAAATTACTTTGCTCTCAGGACCTGGAGGTCAAATTTTCTAATGAGACACGATAGCTGCCTAAGAATAAGGCTCAGAAAGTGGTGCCAGAAATTAGGTGGTACTGTTAGGTGGGTTTTCCTTACATGTAGCAGAACCTATCTATAACTTATATACCATGTTTTGAATGTGCTCACTTTACACATTTCTGTTACTAAAATATTGTGTTCATACAATTATTGCTTAAAATCATCTTGCTTACTATTACTAATATGCATACCACACTTTTGGGAAAAACTGTCTCATTATCCATAGAATTTATAAAATGATTTCTTTCTTTGTTTTGCTTCTCCTATAGAGGGAACTGAAAAGAAGGCGATGATGCAACCTAAAAGTAAACTCAGCAAATTGGTGAAGCTCTTTGGGGAAAAAAAAAAACATTTAAAAAGAATATTCCAGTTTAATAATCAAGATTTACATATATACTGCAAAAAATACAATGCAAATTATGGCTGACTGATACTTAAAAGGTACTGCAAGGTTAACAGAATTTCATAACGTAACTATTAAGTCATAACGTCGAACAAAATAATCGCACATATTAACTTTTTTAGTAGCAGAAAATACATAAAGCGTTTAACAAAGATACTTACATTTGAAGGCTTAAGTTTGTTAATGATTGTTGTTTTCCCGCTATTATCCAGCCCAAGGCACAAAACATGAACTTCCTTCTTCCTTAGGCCGAGCAAGCCTGAGAGTTTATCTAGCAATCCCATAATATGATTCAAATATTTACAAACCAGCTGCAAGTAAAAAAAATATATATATATATTACCCAAACGTACCTTAAGTATGGAAAATATTGGTATGTGTATAAAAAATTTAATTATGTAAAGATATATTATGATAATGTGAAAACTATGTCAACGTAGCTTTGCACTTAGTAAACAGAGTATAAGCTGATTACCAGAAAGGAGTCTTAACTGATAGCAAGATTTGCAGCTTATAACACCTCGTAACACAGAATAACGCCTTTAAAATAACATTTCTCATTGTTATTTACAATATTTAAGAAGAAAATGTCATCTTAAAGACATCTGGCAGTCTGCTAACTGTGATACTTGAAAGTATCTATGAATTAGGCTGCAGCCTTTCCAGAAAATCTGGAACAATGTATGGGCAAGGGAGTTCACGTAGAGTCTGATGCTTGAAGCTCAGAAAGCAGAAGGCAGACCAGGAGCAGAGAAAAACGGAGATTTTGGATACGTCTTTAAGCTAAATCTTTACCCAAAGCCAGCCCCACTGTTGTATTTTGCAATAATATGAAGTCATAATAAATTCACTGCTTTTGCTTGCTTGCCTCGTTAGTTTAAGTTTGGTTAGGGTTTTCTATCAGTCGAAGCAAAGAATCCTGATATTCTTATCCGTATTTCCCCTTAGCCCTTACATATCTTTGTAAATCACCACAAATTCACTTGGGAAGAAGGTGATGTATATACACACACACATTTATTGAACCTTATTATATATCTTTTCTCTGAAATGTAACTTATCTGGAACATCCTACTGTTTTTTTGTAAGTGTTAATGTAAAAGAACTTTATTACACTAGTATACAATAAGAAAGTAAACACTGATCTTAGATTTTAATTTAGTTTTCTCTAATACCATAAAAGTTTCTTTGCTAACTTGTTCCTAAAGTGTTCATTTTGTTTGTTCAACTCTATCAATTCCTTGGGAAAAAATCTTTTTAATGTAAACTTTTAAAAAGACTTTAGATCTTTTTAATCCAAAGATATGAGTATTTTGAATTCAAATAAAACTGCTGTGGACATACTGCTTGCTATGTGATAACTTTAGGGCTGTTCATATTCATCTAAGGTACTGTTAAATTTATACTTCAGGTTTTTAAAGCTTTTTAAAGGAATTCGCTTTGGGCCCATGATCTCCCAAAATATTACTATATGGTAGGAGGACAGTTATCCTTTTTGCCAGTCTCCAACTGTTGCAGGAACTGTCACAATGTAACTGTGTATCAAATATTCCCCATTACTCTCTGAACATTCATTTTCAAAGTTCTCTGAATATTAATCTCATCAAATTGACTTATTCTCATCTCCATCTAAAATTCAATAAGCCTGTCATATTACAGTTCCTTCAGTATTTATTATTCCATCTGATTCCAGGCAAAGGCATACCTTGAAGGATGTGACACTACAGCAACTTAACCAATAAGAGACTTTAAAGACAACTGCAACTGAAAGGAGACTGCATAGTTGACATTTTGCTAAGGACCCTTGGGAGATCATTATGGGTAGAAATTTCAAAACTGAGTTTCAATGATGTATAGAAAAGCAACAGTGCAGTGCCATACCCAAGAGTGGGGTGTATAACAGAGCCACATTTGTTTTCCCCAAGGGATGGGTTTGATCTCAGTTACTTCCATTTGTGCCACTTGAATCTACTTTTCTTCTTGTATTAGAGATTCAAATCTCACTCAATCCATCTCTTTCAATTTCAGCTTAAGTAGTAGCATTTGCAGAATTTATTTTAAATTTACCTTCTGATATGAAACAATTCATATAGATCATCTTAATTCAAAATAAATTTGTTATTACTTTATTTATTGAACTAAACATAATGATATAAATGCTTATACAGCTTCTTTTCTTTTTTCATGCAATTTTGAGATCATTTTTTAGAAATATGACCACTTCTCACATCTTCCCCTGCTGGACATATAATAAAAATCACTGGTTGTCTAGAGCCTGATAAATATTTATTTTTCATAGTACCTTGTATTGTGACTTTCTATCCCTTTTCCAGGGATTATCAAACACCTTATATTTGTTAATGAAATATTTTGGGAGAAATATTTACATGAGAAGTCAGTTTTCTAAAAGATATAATCATATTTATTGATTGCTTTATAAATATCATATATACTTCTATTTTTGCAGTAATTATAATTTTCCTTTTATAAATCTACTTTCTGCATGCATAAGTAAAGGAACTAAAAGAAAAATCAAGACACTCAACATTTATTTATCCTGTCTTAAGTGCACAGTGGGAGATACAAATTTTTCTGTAGCTTCTTACTCCCGCAGCCATGATTCTCAACTTTGGCTGCACTCTGGAATCAACTGTTCAGACAGAATTTTTGAGAATAGGATCACGGTACCTGTAGTTTTAAAAGCTACACAGTGTTTCTGATGGACAGGCAGTATTGAGAACTACTGGCTTTCAAAATAAAGTTCGAAGTTCCATGCATAGCTTTTCATGTTGTTCACAATCTGGCTCCAGTCTACCTTTCTAGTTTCTTATCTTACTGTTACCCACTCTATGCACACCAGCCAAATTCTCTTGATTGTTCTCTGAAACACTGCGTTCTGAAGGATTACATGTTGCCAGAAAAGTCCAGAAGAATTAGGATCCACAGTTACTAGCTTAGAAGGTAAGCTGTAGAGAGATATAGTGGTCGGGCAGAAAAAACACCATTACTGGTACTTTGTATACTTTAAATATATTTGTTGATTGAATTGCTGCATACTCTTACAGCCCCAAATAAACATTCTTATTTAGCTTTCTGTTTTCATGATAAAATTTCACTTATACTTTCCACACATCAAGTAAAAGGACCAAACTGAACAATGTTAAAATCAACCAAAGAAACAAAAATTCGCCCAAACCAGTTCAATTTGTTTTCTAGGATCCCTATCAGCGCATAAGCACACTCCTTTTTCACCTCTCACACATTAGCAACGACTACCAGGTTGGAGTGTGAAAATCGTGAGAAAGAGCAAAGAGGAACTCTAAAACAGACGGGGCGGGGTGGGGGGAATGTCCACTGGCTACAAAAACCGGGGATGGGGAGATACCTGGCTTTTGAGGTTAATCCTGCGAGCCCAGGAACTGGTGAAAAACAGGAACAGACACACTCACTCGTATCCGTCTCTGGGATGGAAATCTGGTGCGGAAGTCCCTCAGCCTTCTTCTCTATGCCTCCACAGGGAGGATCCCTGGTACTGAGCAAAGACGCCTCCACAAGTTGGGAGAACTGGCAGCGTCTGCATCAGCCGGAGCATCAGTGGCTGAGCAGGCGCCCGGGCAGGCGACGTTCCCTTGGCAACGGGAGCTTCTTCCGGTCCCGAAGCCACGCCTCCCCAGGCGGTCTTACCGGATTAGCCTGAGTGTTCTAGCTTTTGAGATCGAAGAGTTCCAGCAAAAGGCCAGAGGCACGCCGATGAACCATATATTAAAGGAGATGTAAGCACAGGTGGCGAGGGAGCTGTGCGATTTTCTTCAAAGAGCCTTGGGGTTCCCGGTGAAGCATTATGGGAGTTGTAGGCGCTCGCACAGCCTTCTGGGAAGCGTTTGCGTCGCTTGTGCGGCTTGCGTGTGATTCGGCGCTGGTCTTCCGCGACACGCCTACGGAGCCCCGGGCTCCGCTTGGTGTGGCGCCTAGAGCCTAGTTCCCGGGCACCGGCGCAGCGCGGTGGCGATGACGGCAAGACGCAGCTACCCAGACTGGGGCAAGATGTGCACGGGAGTTGCCCGCTGCCCATCGCACCGATTCTCCTTAGGGTTCTGGAGAAGTAAAGCAATTAATATAGGAGGGGAGAGGAGAAAAATTGGTGTAAAAAGCCAAAGGCATTATTTAGCAAAGGAAGCTTTCCTGTAAACCTGCTTCTTAGCTGTCTGGTCTCCTGAAGAGATTTCCAGCAGGCATAATCTCCTGTGAGTAGATTAGTCTCCAGAATCAAATCGGCAGATGGCTAGGAAAGGCATTAATAGTACTTAAAGTTAGCCACCTTCTTAAATTGCACTTGGATTTTATAGTCATAATAAGACATGATCCTCAAGTTGAAAATATTTAAACATACACGGTTCCCCGCATTTTTGTTACTACGTTTTCCAACGGACAGACTATAGATGCAGTCGTTTTAAATATCTGGAAATCTTTTGTCAACCTTTTAATTTGCCCAGCCCCACCATTCTCCCCCACTGATGGATGAATGGCTTTCATGACTTAAACATTCCTTAAAGAGGAATTGTCATCTCTTCATTTCCCTTGTTATCCATGGGTATAGGACTTTTTAAAAAAAAATTTCCAACTAGCTAGTGTTATGTTTACTACCCTCCCTGTACTTTGGCCTGTCAGATAATTTGGCCTAATAAATGGACTAGCAGGGTGAAAAAAAGAGACTGAATGCTACATAGAAGGAATTTTGGTAAAGTAATGGTGGTGGTAGGGAGGGTTGTACTTAAACAATTACGGAGTGCTTTGTTTTTCACTTCTCCAGTTTCCAAATGTGGTTGTGTTATTTTTAAAATTAAAAAAAAAAGTGGTTCTAAAAAAGTTACTCTGTAGAAAGTCAAAAACAAAATGAACAAAACTTTGTGAATGCATATGCAAAAGTATTGACATACAAATGTCCTTGTGAAAAATAAAGTATGCGGGAGGGTGGGGGGGAGAGTCTCACCTACTCGGGAGGTTGAGGCAAAAGGATCTTTTGGTTCCAGGCTGCAGTAAGCTGTGAGTATTCTCTGTACTCCAGCCTGGGTGACAGAGTGAGATCTTGTCTCTAAAATAATAATAATAATGATGATAAATATGGAAATATATTCTTTCTTACTTTGTGGTCTTAGGCCAGTTAATCTTTCTCCATGTCTCAGCTTCCTGGCCTTCAAAAAGATACTATTTATCTCCTCTAGTGGTTTTAGCATTAAAGAGGTAACAAATATAAATGTTTGGTACACAGTAGGTGTTTAGTAAATAATTTCCTGTCTTCTTTTGTCCTGAAATGTTTATTATGTGAACAAAATTGACCCAATCCCTAAAGGTGATTGTTCTTTAACTTCTGACCTTGAACTCTACCTGGAATGCATTGACTGGGAAGTGTTTCTGTGTGCCTGTGTGTTGTAACTCACTTAAGTAAGAAATGGAAGCTAATTTGCTTATAGCCAAAATATAACATTTTTTTCCTAGAGATAAGCAAAGATCTTATGTTCCAGGAAAATTTCATGGCAGTTCATGACTTTCATGACTTAATTTTTCCTGTTTGGAGTTGATATTTTCTGCCCGTAGTTTGAATTCTTGTGTTTTTGCTTAGTATAAACCATTTGATGAAAACTGAAAATATAATGAGCTGATTGAGCATTCAAGTTCTCAGTAAACGTAGGCAGATAGATAATTCTTTAAAAAACAAAATATCTGGTCGGGCGTGGTGGCTCCCGCCTGTAATCCTAGCACTCTGGGAGGCCAAGGCAGGCAGATTGCTGGAGGTCAGGAGTTCGAAACCAGCCTGAGCAAGAGCAAGACCCTGTCTCTACTATAAATAGAAAGAAATTAATTGGCCAACTAATATATGTAGAAAAAATTAGCTGGGCATGGTGGCGCATGCCTGTAGTCCCAGCTACTCTGGAGGCTGAGGCAGGAGGATTCCCTGAGCCCAGGAGTTTGAGGTTGCTGCGAGCTAGGCTGATGCCATGGCACTCACTCTAGCCTGGTCAACAAAGTGAGACTCTGTCTCAAAAAAAAAAAAAATATATATATATATATATATGTAAATATTATCTTAGATAAGTATAATTGATGTGATGGCTTATTATTAGAGATGAAAAAGCAGTCATGAAATCTACTCAGTAATCTAGAAAATGTCAATTAAAAAAAACCAAATAGTTCATATGATTGAATTTTGTGTTTTGGTGCTTTGCCAACTGAAACTGCTCTAAAGAGTACACTCAGAGGTTTAGCATAAAATTGTTCCACTTGATTTAAGAAGTTAGTTTGACTCTCTTCATTTTTTTATGAGAATAATAGGCTTTAAAAATGGTATGTGATCTTCTTAAGGCTGCCAAAGATACCTGTAGAAGAGAAGAGAGTTTTAAGTACTTTCTTACCAATTTTAATTTCATATTGACTTTTGGAACTATAGTGGGAAAATTATAAAAATTATGAGAGTGAGATAAACAATGAATATATCACTATTCTGATTAATTCACAATACTTTTAATATATTTTCTTATTAGCAACATTTAAAAGAGTATAGAAAATCCTTTATAACTTATTGAACATTTTGGAATAAACATTGATGGTCTAAATCTGTATTTAAACAGTTGAATGTTATGTGTGTCTTTTTTTTATCTGCAATTTGTGTACAGTACTACCTCTGCAATGACCAATTTAATTCACTTGGCTCTCACAAAATATTTTGTCCATATAAAATCACTGCAAAAATATGTATCATTTATTTATAGTGATTTATGTGAATTTATATTGAGACCTTAATGACATTAATTATTTTGAACAATACAACTATAATTTTGCATCCAGAATTACTAAGTTATATAAAGAGCATCTAGATTTAGTAGACCAAAAAAAATTACATTAAATATACATCAATAGGAACAATACAAAAAATTCACAAATTCAACCACTGGGACTATAACTTTTATTTGCTAATAGATATTTTAATAAACAGGCTTGTTCCATCTATAAGACCCTGATAATGCCTCTTAGGAAATCATAGAAAAATAAAATACAATAATTAGTAATTTGTACTTTGTACAAAAATCTTATTATGTTGCTCAGCAGGTAGTTTTGCTAAACACCATATTCTTTCAGCAAATAGATGACATATGTTGTGCAATTCACCACAAACAAACCCTCATGTTGAGAGCTAAACATTCTATAACACTATTAACTTGTAAGCATGCCAGAACATGAAAGTTTACATGAAACATCATAATATAGTAGATTTTTGTAAGATGAAAACATTACCACCTACAAATAAATCTGGACTACTTCACTGTTATAGTAAAGTAGATAATAGGTAGGATTGTAGTTCAATTGTTAACACCCTTTTACTGTGCTCATCCCTCTACCATATTGTGATTACAACCAGAAAAAAGAACACAGGCTGTATGAGGAACCTGAGTGGAAGGCATATATTGAAGCTCTAAATGGTGATATAATACCAAAGAGAAAAAAATAATACAGTGCTGCACTTCCTTATTCTCACAAACAGATCTTTCCCCCCTTTTGTAAGTAGCTGGTTAAGTGCTAAATCCTTAATTAATGATAAATAGGTTATGACAAGTTACAAAGGTACTTTTAAAAAATTATACTTACAGGAAGGAAAAATATTTTCAGCTATAGTTTTTTATTAGTCAAATATATCTCTACAAGGGATTAAATGTCTCAACCTGGACAGATGTTATCTAGGTATTTTGTACAAATGTGCTATTTAGTATTCAATTAATGAACTTTAGGACTTGTGCTACAAAGATTTTTATAGCAATTATTTGGGTGCACTGAAATTATTGATATCATCTACCATTTAAAATTTGATGTGGCCATTTAAATATTTAAAGTGTTTAATTAAATACATATTTATATGTACACATATATCTTTATATTTTTGGCTATGCTAGAACAGCAAAAAACTGGGAGTGCAATCTTATTCCATTATTCACAATCTAATTTCACATCAAATCCAAAGAATAAATATGCATCTTTAAATTCCAACACATTGAATTACATATAACTTGAATATATACATATCCAAGAAATATAAATATATCTCTAGAAATAATGTACCAAACACAATTAAAAGATAACATCTTTCCTATAGGATAGGGAAGGGCATAATGAGTAAAATAACCATATTGTCCATGTGTTTTCCATAAGTGACAAAAGGTATTGATATTTTTCATATGAAAACAAAATAATTTTTACTAAAAAATTAGTTTCTGTTTATCTTTTTTTTTAAAAAAAAACTTCAGATGGGATCTCAATACCTTCCAAAAGACTGTTTGAGAAAAACAACAAGCTGAATATACAATATGCATGTTTCAGGATTAAACTAATTTTAATTTTCATAGGCTTTGAATTATAACAAAAATGTTTTTGCCTTTTAACCTGTAATAGATAAAAATAAATAAACATTAGAAGTATCTATGGCATTGAGAAGTCCTCACTTAATCTCTACATTATGGAAAACACGGAATTCAAAGTTTCAGCTCTTCCAATAAGATGTCTCAAAAATATTTAGTAAAGATGCCTTTAAAATATTTTCTATAATAGATTTCTTCCTATTATGTAGTACACACAAATACCCACTATGTATGTATGTATATATACATATATAAATGTATATATACATATATATGTGTATATATGTTCACTTTCTCACTCTCCAACTATTCACACATCTCTACTCCAACCTATACTCCTCCACCCCCATGTCAACTTTTATCTTATTTTTGGTAAAACTATGCAAACAGTGACATCCTTACCTTTGTATTGTAAATCTACCAACTTATCTGCATATTAC